ATGAGCAGCAATAGGGCATATTTGAAGCCCGCGCGAGATCGCAACAATCTTCACGTAACTCTTGAGAGTACGGTGACAAAAGTGCTGATCGATCGTATCACAAACCGTGCAGTCGGCGTGGAGTTCATAAAAAATGGTCGAAATATCTCCGTGTTTGCGAGTAAAGAAGTGATTCTGTGCGCAGGTGCAATTAAATCACCTCAATTGTTGATGCTTTCCGGAATTGGACCAGCAAAACGTCTTATGGAACTAGGCGTAAATGTTATCCGAGATGCGCCAGTCGGCGAAAATCTTATGGATCACCTAATGTTTTATAGATTGGCATGGAAAATAAACACATCGATAAGTTTACAACCACTCGGACTGTTAAATCCTATTAATCCATATGTAGCAGACTTTTTAATAAATCGAACAGGACCGTTAACGACTCCGGGCGGATGCGAGGCTCTCGGTTTTGTCAACACAAAACATCCAGAGGAACATCGCGGTCTACCTAATATCGAATTATTGTTTATTGGTGGTACACTTAAAGATATTACTATTCCATTAATGTTAAATCTTAAAGATCGAATATCTCGTGAGTGGACTAAATATAGTGAGAGCTATGGCTGGGGCATTGGGCCAATATTGTTAAAACCAAAAAGTCGTGGACGGATAACGTTATTGGCTAATGACATTAATGTTAAACCAGAGATCGTATCGAATTATCTCGACGACCCAGACGATATGAAGACAATGATTGCTGGGATTAGAACTGCGTTAAGTATTGGTCGGACAAAGACGATGCAAGCGTTCGGTTCTCAATTGTTAAACATTACTTATACGGAATGCAACAATTACGAATATGACTCTGATGCTTATTGGGCATGCGCGATAAGGATGATATCTTCCTCGATTTTTCATTATTCTGGAACTTGCAAAATGGGAGCGAGAAGAGACCCGACCGCTGTCGTCGATCCTAAATTAAAGGTACTTGCTGAAGAACGCACTGGAGTGTTTACACATAGTATAATAAGTGATATGTAAATAATGATATGAGTTCATGTGCAATGTTTTTCAGGTAATCGGTATTCAAGGATTGCGAGTAGCAGATGCATCTATTATGCCCGAAATTGTATCGGGACATCTAAGTATACCTGTTTACATGATCGCCGAAAAAGCTGCAGATATGATCAAAGAAGAATGGGGATACTTAAAGAAGTCACAATAGACATGTGTATTTTTCAAAGTAATTGCACCATTTTGCAGTTTCTATAAGTAGCACGTTAATTTAGTATTACAGCGGTGTTGATTGATATCGCAAGTGAAATAAATTTTCAAGATTTCCAAATAAGTAACATTACTATTTGTTTCTGCAATATAGATTTTACGTTTGTCACAAACCACATGTGTATCAGTGTTTTGCGAATCAAATAACTTGATCGAAGAAGAATTTCTTCATAAACTGTTACAGAGCAAACATGTACACAGTGCACGTGATGCGAGTTGGCATGACTGAAGCTTTCACACGCCTGAAGTAACCATATCATGACAACTTGTCAACAGTGATAGAATTCTACTACTACTCGGGCAACGAGAAACCAAATGGTAAAACTACAGAAGAGCGCCTTATGCGCCTGCAAACTCGAGTCTGTGATTTCTAAAAGTAATTAGTTATTTAGATCGTTGATTTATACATATAACTATAAAATATATAATGAATTTGTTGGTAATCCTCCTATTAAAACTAAAAGAAAATTGAAAAATAAAATCAAATTTGGACCGCGATGGCGTTTCTCGCGATTTGCGCTAAAGCGAATAAGATGTTTTAACGAATGTAGAATCGATAAAGATCGTTTAGCGACATTATTGCATACACGTGCAGATTCCGAAGCTGAGATTGAATTAAATCGATCGATTGATCGATTTATTAAAAATTATGATTTTTAACAAACCGTTCAACGCCGGTCATCGCGTGCGTGCGTGTCGAGTTGCGCGCTCGTGCAGGCACGGGACTCGCACGCACACACGCGCGCCATAGCACTCATCTATTTTCAGAATGTAGGCCAATTAATCCCGCCGCATTTTCGGCACGGAGGAAAAACGAAAACATTACAAGTGTCTCACGGAAATAGCCGCGGGGATAAATGTCCAAGTACCGGTCGCTCTCCGCTCTCTCGCGCTCTTCCTCGCTCTCTCGTTCCTTCTTCGCTAGCGAGGGTAGTGTCGCATAAACGCAATAATTTAATATAGAACATATGTAAGAGTACCCTGGTTACTTCGACGCACTGCCACCCTGAGAGTCACTTGCGTGAATGATATGTAGACGTTTGCGCGATGATAAACAGGAAATTCTATTACTTATTTGCGTGCCGTATCCTAATTATATATCCTTAATTAGATTTTAATCTCGATTTTTTTCTCACATTTTACGTTCACTAATATGTTTCTAATGTTTTTTTTATTTATTTATATTACATATATTACATATATTACATATATCTATATTTATATTAATAATTTAACGCGTGTGTTTTATCTAATTTAAGGGAAGCGCGTGAAATCGATTAACAAGAATTCATCAACTAACTCGTAACGATATCTCCGGTCCATTTTGCATTAAGTGTAGGCAGAACACATCAAGAGGCTCTTGATCTAGATGACGATGGCTCTAATGGCGTTTACACGGGCAATATTCAGCGTTTACGAGCAGATTAACGACACGCGTAGTAGATGAAAGTGTGTTTTGGATAGAAGTGTTGAGAAACACACTGTTACGTGACGAGAAATAAATTTGTTAACATTTAATGGCACATATGAGCGACATTATCGTTATCATGACATTTTACGATCCAGATTAGAATAGAGTAGAGTAAATTAAATTGATAACAGTCTTTGTGTTAAACGTCATCAACTCGGAATCGAGTAAATGCGTGTGAACATGCTGAACGGAGAGTGAATATTAATCGATACGTACAATAAGTGCAAATCACAAATTTGAAATAAGTATTATAGTTTGATACGCACAGTTAAATAAGCTTATCGAACAATTGCATTCGAACACAATGGGATTCTTTATAAGTCTATGTAAACTAATGCACACTAAAACAAACACATATTGGAAACAAAAATCCGGCAACAGGTATCAAGACTTGACAATTAAGTCAAGTTTTAAGTAATCTTAAAATCTAGATAAGAATTATTTTTGAATTTTATCTGATAGGTATATGTGATTTTAGTGTAATTCATGCATTCGCGTTTATACTATAATGAATCAAATTCCGAGTCCCCATTCAGTCGTTTTCTATATTTCTTTCATGCTCTTCTGATTTCGATAACGCGATAATTCCTCAAAATAAATGCCGTTTCGCCGAGTGAGCGTAAGAAAGACACTGGATAGACGGTCCGCGTATTTCATTCATCATGGAAATTGACAGCGCGACGCACGTCTTTTTGACACGATCGACAGTGCGATCCTTTTTTTTCTCCTTTCTCTTTTTATACGAGCATTTATGGGCTGACGAAGTGTCAGGGGGAACCTCGGATGGGAAGTCAATTACGAAGATCGAGGCCGCATTGTGGTGGCATCGAGGCAGCCTCTCTTGGCGTGCGAGCGATCGAAATTGCACAGGCGGTCGACCGGAAAATAGGGCCGCGCCCTCCAATGTGCGGTCTCCTGCCTCCCGAATAATTTATCCCAAAACGCGTCGCGTCTTCGATGGCATCGTCGAGAGAGGCGAAGGAGCGAGAGAGAAGCGCCCGAAAAAGCGGACCGACGGGGAGAATGGCACACCGTGTGCATCATGCGAGAACTTGGTCTGCCGAGAGGATCGATTGTCAGAAGGCGACCTGACCGCAAGTTATTGACAAGAGGATTAATCTCAGCTCCGTATTGCAGATCGCGTGATTGATAAACGTTGAAAATAGGCAGCAGCACGTAAACGACGGATAAACATCGCGAGACGAAATATCTAGACATCTTTTCAACTCTATTAAATTTCTTAATCAACCGAATATCACAAAAAGCTCGAATTCAATAAAATTGAATATTTTCAAGAAACGCACTTCAAACATCTTATGACGCAAAAAAAATGTAAAATATATAAAACGTGTACAATGAGAAAACATCAAATACAATTCATAATGCAACATATATAAATATATATGATGTATTTAAATATAAATATAGACTATAAAATATGACTATAAACTGATAAATATGACTATAGAATGACTATAGAAAAAAGACAGTCACAAATATCGATTCATTTTCATCACGAAATAATTTCTTTCTACTGTCTCAGTAAAGCTATGATAAATTGATCAAAGCCTTCAAAGATTTATCATTTACCGATAAAACATCAGAAAGTTATATCATTTTTTTTTCAAAATACATAAATACGTATTGATATTTTCAATACATTAAATAAATAAAATAAAAATGGAAATGTTAGTCTGTCATAAAAAGTATCTTCGTAAATAAAGATTCGCAATACCGGTTTGATGAAGGTTATTGCCTTCGCGATATCAAGGCTTATTCACAGTATACGTTTGACTACCAACACGGAAAGGGCGGGCAGGCACCAGATGCGACAAAGCATTTTTTTTTAACCCTTTCGCTTTCAGGGCGTTGCGCAAACTTTTAATAGAGTTTAAAGCACACGGGCGGAATTAAGTTTTTAATTTCAAAGCCAAAGTAAAGTGTTTAGAAACTAGACAATAAAAGACTAGAAGCCTTTTAACTTACGAAGATAATAATCGAGGAACAAGAGAATTATCGTGACGAGTAAATTATCGTGGAATTCAAAGATGCAAAAAACATTAGTTAAGCTAATCGCAAAAATTTTTATAAGCAATATCAAGAAATTAAACTAATACACGAAAAGAACAATTTTTTTGAAGTATCTAAAAATTTAAGATTACAGATCTTAAAATAATAATTATTGGACCATATATAAAAATAATTATGTAGGACGCTTAAGCATGCTGCAAAAAATTATGAAATAGCAACCAGTTTGAGCGTCCTACATAATTATTTTAAAATGTAACAAAATTATTTTAAGATCTGTATCTAATTAAATTATTAGATACTTCAGCAAAATAGTGTTTTCCGCAAATATTGAATAAATATTGAAAATCTGACTCATCAAAACAATTTTTATTCGCTGTCGGCGTAAAGCTGATCAAATAAAATTCCACCCTGTATTAATAAATATACAAAGTAAATCTCATAAAATAAGATATATTAAATAAATCAGAAGAAATTTTGTTAATCACGCGCGTTGTTAACTAGACCAAGTCTAAAACATTTCGATTCAATTAAAATAATTTAATTTAAGATAATTTTCTCAACTTTTTTACGTCAGAGAAATAAGAAAAATGATTACTGTTTCATCAATGCAAAATTACTTCCTCATGTATTATATTAAAAAAATGCAAAAGTTTTATTAGGTACATCGCGCATTTTTCAGCCAAATAAGTGCAAACAGTCTCTTCGGTCATCTCTTATTTAATTTTATTCAACTCGCTTCTACATCCGAGTACGAACGAAATGATACTCTGTCCGATTATTCGGATTCTGCGCGCCAACTCGCCCTGCTCTTTTAGCACAGTTCGCTAACGCGAGCGCGTCGGATAGTCTCATCAGTTTCCGAAGATTTTCGGTTGTACGTGGCGCGATATATCGCCTTTGCGCGCGCGAGCGTGCGAGCGACCGCGGGGAGAAATGTTGCACCGCAGAAGCGCGCACGGGTGGGCTATCTATAGCGGCGAGTGTAACCGAATGGAGACTCGGATGTCACTCAAGGATGACAAAACTCATTAATACCGATCTGCTTAATGCCCCGTCTCGTGTCCGACATTAATCTGCTTAAAAATACCTGCCGGGGTGCGCGCGAGTGACCCGCCATTTTAGATCGTCCGTGTCGGTTTACTTTGTAAGTCGCGCGTCGGGACCTCCGCTCCCGGAGATCACGCGACACGCACGAAACACGCGCCGATCCTAACGTTAACACTCGCGCGGGCTGTCGCCTTCGCTCTGAAGATAGGTACTCCCCAAGAAACTACGGCGAAGCGCGGCAGCTTGAAAAGGAAACGGAAACGACGGAAGTTTCGATCGCGGTCGAGTCTTATCACTTCCGTTTGCGCGCCGTTAAACTATTTCAGATGAGTTCGTGCGACCGATCGTGATGATATTATTTTTATATCTGACCTATTGCCACTGATAACATACCGATATCACTGTATGATAGAGATTTATGGTTTCGATATACCTACAGTAAACCCCCGTAAAACACAGGGGATATGTTCCGTGTTACATAAATCTGAGTTACACGAGTCACATAAATTATATGTATAA